GAAATTAGGGGGGGAGAGAAATAGAAATTAGGAGGGGGGAGAGAAATTGAAATTAGGAGGGGGGAAGAGATATTAGGAGGGGGGAAAGAGAAATTAGGAGGAGGGTGAGAAAGAGAAATTGGGAGGAGGAGAAGGAAATTGGAGCGGGAGGAGAGATTGACATTCATCACATACACACAATGCACCCCTTGCACACAGAAAAACACACAGACACACATACACAAGCAATACAACCGTTACACACAATGCATCCCTTACACACACAGAAACACACAATGCATTCATTACACACACTCAATGCACCCCTTACACACATTCAATGCATCCCATACATACACAGAAACACACCTTGCAGTCCTTACACATACAAACACAATTTCACGCAATGCATTCCTTACACACATATCAGGACATCCCCTACACACTCCACCCCCTGTGAACAAACTCATCGGTGGAACATGAAGGTGGACCCTGGGACCCAGACCTTGAGCTGTGTAAGGACCCCCAAAAAATGGAGCTGCTTCCCGTTCTCCCAGAACATTGAGTTTTGTGACCTGATTTTTAAAGCCGCCTCCAGAAACCTGTTCTGCAGACCAGTGGAGCCAGACTGCAGCTAGAGCCCATCATCATCCCTCATCTAGTTTGTAAGTAGGCAATCTAGATTGTATTTGTGGCACTAAACCTAATTTACCTCACATTAAAAGAAACACTATAGTCCCAGAACCACTTCAGCTTAATGTAGTGGTTCTGGTGTCTATAGCCTGTCCTTGCAGGCCTTTTAATGTAAACACGGCGGCACTGCAGCACTGGCGTTAGTTAACATGGCAAAATCATATGGGTGGGGCATTGTGATGTCACATGGGGGGGCGGCAAACTTTACTTTTGCCTAGGGCAGCAAAAATCCTTGCACCGGCCCTGGCTGGAGGGGGCTGTGTGAGCTGTGGCCGCACAGTGTCCCATGGTAGTTAGGGTGCTGTGCGGCCAGTACAGCTCACACAAGCAAACAGCTGATAAACTGGCCGCACGGAGGAAATGTGTATGTGTGACTGTCTGCCTTTGACTGTATGTGACTGTCTGCCTGTGACTGTATGTGACTGTCTGCCTGTAACTGAGTGTGTGACTGTCTGTAACTGAGAGTGTGACTGTCTGCCTGTAAATGTGTGTGTGGGGCTGCAGGGATTTTGTAGAAGGGGGCGGGGGTTTTGTATTGGGACAGGAGTCTTTACAAATTGTAAAAAAAAAAAAAAAGAGAACCTTTAAAAATTTTTACAGGTTTTTGTGCCAAGCACAGGATCCGCCCCGGGTGCCAAATGCTCTAGGTACGCCCCTGATCTAGGGTTAACCCTGCCTGCTGTAACCATAGCAGTTTCAGAGTTCAGCACACATTCAGTCAGTCCGTAGGAAAGAATTCTCAATGCTTTCCTATGGATGCTGGCGTCTTCTCACTGTGAAAATCACAGAAAGGTAAGTGATTTAACCCCTTCCTCTCCCTTCAGCCCGGCAGGTGGGGGGCCATGAGGGTGGGGGAGGACCTATTAATACTATAGTGCCAGGAAAATTAGTTTGTTTTCCTGGCACTATAGTGGTCCTTTAAACATTTTATCTTAAAAATAGGAACCATGTGATACCATTTGATGTAAAATTTAATTTACAATGTATTTTGCCCCTTCTCCTCCACCCCACAGAAAATCATCTCCAGTGCACACTCCTTGTGACAGAGAACATTTTAAAGAACTTTGGGAACCCTGTCCACTGAAATGCAGTGTTACTAAGGAAGGGAGGGCAGGAGGTTCTTTCAGCACATGCTAAATACTCTGCAAGGAAACATTGAAAACATTTCCCAGCTAAACTGGCATATCCAGATTACGTTTTAAGAAAGTTCACATTTGACTTAAAAAGAAGAATGTTATTTATTGGTAATTGCAATTCTATGTCTAACAAAATATACCCTTACACGTCGCTATGAGAACAACAAGCACGAGCCAGTTGAGAATAAATTGTCTCTGAGTTTGACTATGACTTTTGTAGATCTGTGGAAAAGGGCTGCCAAAGTATACTTCACTGCATTGACGATATCTTTGAAAACACACAAGAAAGAGGCTGTTAAAGGAACTTAGATGTATTCATCTTTAGGGATCTGAAAGAGAAGAAAACAGTAAGTTAAATCAGTAGAGATTGTATGACTCACTATTGCAGTGTCTATTACACATTCTGCAAGCACTACCTGAGAAGTATGTCTACCATTCTGCTTGATCCATTGTGGTTGCTAAATCTCTTTGATGTGTGCTGCAGTATAAGAGACTTTTGATGTTGTAATCCTATGATGTTGCTTTAACATCCCAAAACTCAGCACAGCAAGGCCAGCCTCGCAATGCAGACTGTGACTTTAACCCAATTTCCTATGACTAGAGTACATAATTAACATTTTCATGACTCACATATGCTATGTCTCTTTGAAGGTTATATTTTCAATTTGCAGGTCACAGTACATTTACATTGTTGAAACGGTACTTTCAGAAAATGTATTCCGAAAAGACAAGCAATCAGTTGTTCTTACTTTATTTAGAATAATCCTTGGCTGAAAAGGACTGTGCAAGATTACTAGATGGCAGGGAACAGACAGGCACTGGCATGGAAACGCACACAGGGCACATGATATATGGGTCAGTAACTACTTCTTCCTTACGTCATTGCCAAATAAAACTATGCTGGGGTAAGGCGATCTACACGCCGGACTATTCTGTATATATTTCCATAAGGAATCTTTGACCAATAGCTGGTCTCAAACACATATCTCTGTTACTGTTCATTTGTTATATAGAGGGTGATTTATCAAAGCTAAACATGCTATTTGGGGTGCAAAGTGCTGAATGTTGAAATATAATCTATTGATTTCCATGGTAACTACACTTTATTCAGCACTGTGCCCCAGAATAGCACATGCATTTTCATACATATATCTCCCCTATAGTTTGCATGCACAAGCAACTTGTACTAAAAAGTACACATAGGCTTCTGTCAACTGGAAGAATATAAAACACACCATAGAGGTTTAAAGGACAACTATAGTGCCAGGAAAACAAACTCGTTTTCCTGGCACTATAGTGCCCGGAGGGTGCCCCCACCTTCATGGCTCCCCTCCCGCCGGGCTGAAGTAGGAGGAAGTGGTTAAACACTTACCTTTCTCCAGCGCCGGGCTCCCTCCTCCTTTGGACGTCATCGGCTGGATGCGCATGCGTGGCAAGAGCCGCGCACACATTCAGTTAGTCCACAGGAAAGCATTCTCAATGCTTTCCTATGGACGCTGGCGTCTTCTCACTGTGAAAAACACAGTGAGAAGCGCGAAAGTGCCTCTAGCGGCTGTCAATGAGACAGCCACTAGAGGCTGCTATATTTACAGCTACAGGGTTAACCTTAGAGGGAGCTGGCACCCAGACCACTTCATTGAGCTGAATTCTTCTGGGTGCCTATAGTGGTCCTTTAATATTCAATCTTAATGTGTCCATTGTGGTTTAAAGCCTATAAATGCATTCCTTGTCGTTTTATCCAAAAGCAAGGTGATACATAGGTGATCATGTGATCAATAACACACCAGGAAAGATATGATTTGTGATCATTTTTGTTATTAAAAAAAGCTGATTGACAAATATATTTCACATAAAACCAAAAGAACATGTATTGAACTTGACGTGTTACCCACAAGGTTTCATCTTATGCCATGAAAAGGGCAACAATTTAATAAAAAAAAATATAAGATAAAGATAAAACATACGAAAATGGAAAAATCAATAGTCTACAAGATGATTCCATAGTTGTGAAAAATAGCACTGAAGCAACATTGGATTTATAACCCCTTGTTTATCACGTATGGAGCAGACAGTTCTAACCAATTACCTTCATCTGTTATTCACTTCCATGAGAAACGATTTGCTATCACTCAAGGGCATTTAATGGGGGTTAACTCCTGAGTATCATGTGTATATTCGTCCAAGCACATTTTTTAACTCAGCCAGTGCTGTTTTTTTTGTTTTTTTTATTCTATTTTTTAGATTTAACTATTGGTAATTAATGTAATGGCAAACAACGAAGAGATTACCTAATCCAAATTTTTTATGCCAACATTCCATCCAAGAAGGATTTAGTGGCTCTCAGTTGTGTGTTGGTTGGTAAAGCCAAAATGTAGTAAATGCTTCCTTTGTAACTCTGTAAAGTGGTATAAGTAAAACCTACACCTACTCCGCTAAAATATATGTTAACTTACCCCACGTAACCTTGTTAAACTCTTTGACTTGTGGTACATTTAAAAGATAGAAAAGATACAATATCGTGCAGATGGTATACAAAATTGGATAGAATAAATGGTGGGGAAGTAAAACACTCACATTTGAGGGAGCCTATATATAAATACTGGCTCTGTGCTTTTAAGGCAGCATCACACCACTCGTCCACTTGTCCAGAGCCTTACAATCCTGGCTCTGAGGTATAATGGTATTGTGCCAATTTTGTGGGTATGGCACAACCCCTATGAACTATGTACATACTATGTATGAACTTTGTAACTATTCACAGCAGCCAGTTGATTTTTATTGTGAAGAGTATGTTCAATTTTAGCAACATACAGATTACCAAATATATTTTACTTTAATACTATAGAGCTTTCCATGTTACAAATTTTAAAGCCTAGTTATATAAGCAAACAAGCATTACTGAACACACAAAAATGCATAAATATTAAAATATGCATAAATATTAAAACATTTATATAATTCCAATAATTTTTTTCCTTTTTTCCTTTCATAGTCCAGTTTCATAGAGAGTGGCAATTTGTGACAATTTTCTTATCATCCCTCCTCTGCTGCTATGATCCAATATACATCATTGCACAGTTTAATGCCCAGTGCAAGGATTTTACCACCCTAAGCAAAATCCAGCTCACTGCCTGTTTTTCAAGGATCACTGTAATGTCAGGAAAACGAACTTGTTTTCCTGACACTATATCATCCTTAGGATCCCCCCCACCCACCCCCAGGGTCCCTCTGCCTTGGCACTGAAGGGGTTAAAACCCCTTCAGCTACTTACTTAAATCCAGCGCCGGGCTCCCTCTGCGCTGGTGACCTCTCCTCCCACTCCAACGTCAGCTCCCGAGTGAAGCTGAATGCGCATGCGAAGCAAGAGCCGCGGGTGCATTCAAACAGTCCATAGGGAAGCATTTCTCTGAAACTGCTATGTTTACATGTGAAGGGTTAAAACCTGGGGGACCTGGCACCCAGAACACTTCATTGAGCTGAAGTGGTCTAGGTGACTATAGTGTCCCTTTAATATTTGAAAAATACTCCGTACTATCTGAGGCTGTAGTGTAGTGATCGGCACATGTTGATATTATTGTAAGAACACTTACCTGCTCCATGAGGAGCTGCTCCCCTACTTATGGCGCATGGGCTGAAC